TTTTTTTTTTTTTTTAAGTATCTTGTTTGTCATTCCTCCATAATTGCCTGCTTATTACTTCCAGTTTTTCACTGTTTTAAATAACTGTGAGGAAGAGTCATGTGCATGAACAGAGTTTTAGAAATAGATTTACTGAGACATTGTTTTGAAGTTGATTTTAGAGATTTAAACAACTGCCCTGCAGTGTGAGATCATGTTGGACTGAGGACTTCATGAAGTCAGGGCCATGTCTGCCTTGTTCACCACTGTTTTCCAGCATCTATTACAGTGCCTGGCAGGAAATAGCTGCTCAGTAAATACTTGTTAAAGGGTCACATGAGGGTTTTAAGAGATGAGTACTAATTATAAATACCCATGTTGTCTAATGTTAGAGAAATGACTCAATAAATTACAGAAAATTGCATACAGTGCCATACTACACAACCATCAAATTCAAACATAAAATGAAATGAAATTAAAAAAAATAAATAAAATTTAGCTCAAATAAGATAAAAAGCAGGATAAAATTCAGATATACAGTATGACTTTAATTGTATAGTGAAAAAAATGCATTCAATTATAGTGACAACTTTTGGGTGACTATCAATTGTTTTTTTCCCTGGTTCCCTGCACCTTTCTTAATTTTCCAGATTTTCCACAATGAGCATGTATTTCTTAATAATCAAGAGGAAATTATAATATAATTTTTAAAGTTCATATACTTATGTCCTTTGTTACCACTGTCCTCTCCTTTTTAAGAGCCTTTTGATTATCTAGTCTTTTGCCCTTACTACCTGTAGACCACCCTCTTTGAGCTAATTAATTCCTGACATATTGTAAGGGATTTAAGTACACATGCAAACCGGAATGTGTTGCTCTAGAAATGTTGCACGGGAATAAAAAACTCCAGGAGGAATATTACTGGCAATAAGATAATCCGACGGATAAGGGCAAGAAAACATTTTTCATGTACTGATTTTCCATTTTGTTTAAAGTGCTACAGGCTGATGTTTCTCTTTTATTCCACCAGAGGGCAGTGTTCCAAGGATTATCACAAGAAGCATTGTCTGCCTGTATTCAATCATTGTTGGGAGCATCAGAGTCTATCAGCAAAAATAAGGTTTGATGAAGTGTTACGTGAAATCTTATTACTTATAATAATATTGTGAAATATAGCACTTATCTGTAGACACAAAGTTGAAAGCTCTTTTGGCAGTAGGGTTTGTTTGTTCAGTATGATTTAATTTTGAGCCCCTTTGAGAGTAAGGCAGTATTTCCTTTTAGTGCCAACTGAAGACTGTACTGTATAAAAGAGTGCCAGCTTTGCCAAAGTACTAAAAATGGTACTTGAGTTCTATGTTCTATAAGATAAAGGCTTGTGGCGATAGCCTTAGCAACTGAGGAAGTGGTGGGCTGCTGTTTCCCGGGAATACCAAAAAGCATTTTCAAGGAAAAGTAGCAATTTATAATAGTCCCTACAAAGATGTTTTAAATTGTATGAATGTCTTCACTTGGAGGAAATTAGCCAGTCAATTTTGAGTCCTGGCAGCTGTGGCCCATGGGTCATGGGATGTAGTTATTGCCATGACACCTACTTCATGGCTTACAGTGTTTCATCAAGAAGGGATTTAGGGCTAAAGGCTGCTGGCACATACTTTCCCCAGTGACCCCTGAGATTTTTCAAGAAGCAGAGCATGGTTGAAAGTGTTGCTTTGCTCAACGCTACACTGCAGATACCTGTTACTGACAGAGAGGAAGCTGAAGTGGCTGCTTCCGGCCAGATTTTCATTGCTGCTTAGTGTTTAAATTTTATGAACCTTCCTGGACTTCTAGATTTACAAAACTGACTTCTAACCTCAAAGCTTTGTGGTGTTGTTATGTTCTGTCAAGTTAGACCTGACTCATAGCGACCCCTCCTTGGGTTTCCGAGGTGGTATCACTACGGAAGTAGATTGCCCAACCTTCCTTCCGAAGAGTGGCTGGTGGGTTTGAACTGTCAGCCTTCTGCTTAGCAGTCAAGTGCCTTAGGCACTATGCTACCAGAGCTTTAGATTTATTAAAAAAAAAATCTCCCACAAAACAGTTTGGGATCCTATCATTAAAAAAGAATGAAAATGAAATCTTGATATGGGGACTAGAAAAGGATGGAATGTTAAGTTATAGACAGGCAAATGTAAGTTTTAATTAAGTATTTCCAAGTATGAGCTAAGTGGCTTTAAAATCAACTCTCACATTTTAAAATTATAGATGAAATTAAGAAACACCTGTGTGTCTAATGTTAGAGAAATGACTGAGTAAATTATGGAACATTGCATACAGTGCCATACTACACGGCCATCAAATTCAAACATAAAATGAAATGAAATTTAAAAATAAATAAATAAAATTTACCTTAAAAAGGTAAAAAGAAAAAGCAGGCTATAAATCAGATATATAGTATGACTTTAATTATATAGTGAAAAAAATACATTCAGTTACAGTGACAACTTTTGGGTGACTGTTGATTGTTTTTTCCCCTGATTCCCTGTACTTTTCTTTATTTTCCAGACTTTCTACAATGGGCATGTATTTCTTAATAATCAGGAGGAAATTATAACCTAATTTGTAAAGCTCATATACTTATGTCCTCTGTTACCACTGTTCTCTCTTTTTTAAGAGCCTTTTGATTATCTAGTCCTTTGCCCTTATTATTCCTAGGCCACCCTCTTTGAGCTAATTTCATTCCTGACATGTTGTAAGTGATTTAAGTATGTTTTAAATTGTATGAATGTCTTCACTTTGAGCTAATTTCATTCCTGACATGTTGTAATTGATTTAAGTATATATGCAAGCCAAAAAAAAACTCACTGCCATCAAGTCGATTCTGATCCTAGTGACTCCCATTGGGTTTCAAAGCTGGTAAATCTTCACAGAAGTAGATTGCTTCATCTTCCTTCTGTGGAGCTGCTGTGGGTTTGAACTGCCAGCCTTCTGATTAGCAGTCACATGCTTTAAGCATTGTGCCACAACAGCTCCTTAAGTATATCTGAGGGAACCTCAATCTGGTACACATTGCTATTTTATTTCCATGGCTGAATTTATATACTTTTTGCCTTTCAACTTTTTAAAAAGTGGTCAGTGAACATGACTTAATGTCTTTTGTAGTTTTTTAAGAAAGCAACTTTTCTTGATGAGCATCTAGTATGTGCCAGGCACCATGCTGTGTAAGTGTTAATTTGTCAACAAGTACTTTCAATAAAGTAATATGATACTATTTATTGGATTGTAACAGCTTTAGTAAAGTCAAGAAAGCTATTATACCATTTTTACCTAGCAGAGTTGTTAGTTCTGTTAAAAATAGAGCAAGTAATTAAAATGGATAGCATTTCCTGTATCAGATGCTCTGTGTTCCAGAGTGCAAAGTGAGTTTCCATTATATCAGTCATACTTAAGTAGATTATGTGTTTATTTAGAAAGGGGAGGTAGGGGAGACACTCTCTGTCTCTCTACACACACACACGCACACAATGAGGAATCACTTTAATAAACCCTGTAAAGTTTATATTGCTTACAGAAGGACAACTATATTCTTTTCCTAGTGTAGTATAGGGAGCTCTGGTGGCATAGTGCCTAAGGCATTTGACCGCTAACCAGAAGGCTGGCGTTTTAAACCCACCATCCACTCCTTGAAAGGAAGATTGGGTGATGTACCTCCATCAAGATCCCACCTCAGAAACCCAGGAGGGGTTGCTGTGAGTCGAATCGACTTGATGGCAGTGAGTTTGATTTTTTTGGTTAGTGTAGTATAATTTCATGAGAAAAATTTCCAAAATAAGATTCTGTCTTTAGTAGCAGTCACATAGTCTTGGTGTGGTTAATATACAGACTCTTTCCTGAAATGAGAGCTGTGATGATTTGTAGTTTGGGATTGGGTCAGAACTTTGAGAATTTCCCTTGAATCACAAGACTGTGGCTGGGCCTCAGAGGACCAACAGGAATGAAGTGACTCTGCGGGCGGAGGTAGTCAGTGCTCCCTATGTGGCAGGACATCCAGAATAGTAACCGCAAAGCATTTTACATTTGGAGGCTGCTTTTGCACTTTTGTGCAAATATGAGTATTTGTGATGGTCTGGATTTTGAAGCCACTGTAGATCAAAGAATGAAAGTCATATTACTGAAGAGAAACTACAAAGCCATAGGGGTCGAAATTTTGCTCATACTGGGCTTTTCCTTCTTTCCTTCTCCATGCGGGTGTTTGTCTGCATCGTCTCTTCTACTTCTGCACCACCTTAAAACTGATTTGGCTTCTCTTTCAAAATGTGTTGTTTTGTAGCCTTTTGTCTAACTTACTTTCTTGGATTTACTACTAAGTAGAGGAGGTGACAGTGTTAATAGGAGTTTGAAGCAAGATTAATCTAAATGATTCTTAACATAGGTGATAGGGGAGAGTTCACTGTGCTACAAAGGAGTGGTGGGATCATAAAGTTAGCATAAGGGCCATATACCTGGGTAGATTAATGTTGATTAATGGCGTATGTGTTGCATCTGCTTGTATTTTTTATTTGATCTGTGATAATATCCATTTTTTCTGTGTTACAATTTAGACTCAGATTGATGGACAACTCTTCTTAATTAAGCACCTCTTGATTCTTCGTGAACAGATTGCTCCGTTTCACACTGAATTCACCATTAAGGAAATTTCCCTGGACCTCAAGAAAACTAGAGGTACTTTATTGTCCTGGCTGGCACAGTTGGATGTGTTTGACTTGTCCAGATGTGTCAGCTCAGGTTATAGGTTTACTTTATGTTCAACTGCAATTTTTTTTGCATGCTTTGCTTGCTAATAAGCATGTTACTTATTCATACTAAGCTAAGCTGTCAGCATCCTAATTGCTTGACTTGCTGTAATTTCTTTATGAAGGGAACTGTATTTGGGCATTTCAGTTTATAACATCGTATTACCTCTCTTAGACTCTGATCACATCTGATAATAACCAGTTAAAAAATGAAAAATCGGTTTAGTAACTACACCTACTTCTCATTTATCAACATGGTTAGGGCCCAAAGATGAGGTCATTAGGTGAAAATCGGTGTTATATGAATATGGAGGACTACATCCCATCACAGAATGGAAGATGATAACATCATGCATAATTGACAGTTTACATTAATATGTAACTGTCAAACCACTGAGAATCATGGCCTAGCCAGGTTGACAGTTAACTGTCACAGCCAGTATTACTCTCACCTGGCACCTCAGCATTTGTTACAGTCAGAAGTATGTTATTATTATGCAGAATAGTTGGATAGTATGTTTTTTACTATTGTTGTAAATGTGAAATGTCAGTAATGAGATAGTTGGTAAGTGAGTAGTAGATGTGCTTACCATATCAGCTGTGTGGGATGATTTCAAACACTGAGTTGACCAGTTTGTCAGTTCAGGAAGCCAACTGGGTAAAATGAGAAGAGTACTTATGTAAGAGACTAAAAGAGTTGGGTTCTGTTACTGGTCCATCATTTATAGACTTGTGTAGTCTTGGATGGGTCTTTTAGCTTCTCTACCACAGCTTCCTTCTAAGGTAAAATGAACATGATAAGTTTACCCTGACCTCCACCAGGTTATCAAGGTCATTAAGAATGAAAATGTGTATTTAAATGCTTTATAAGCTGAAGGTACTTAAATAAACTTAAATGGTATTATTATTATTAAATGAGCTGGTTGTTAAGTAAGGAGCCCTGGTGGCACAATGGTAAGTGCTCATTTGCTAACAGAAAGGTCAGTGGTTCGAACCCACCAGTCACTCCGTGGGAGAAGGATGTGGCGGTCTGTTTCCATAAAGATTTATGGTCTTAGAAACCTTATGGGCTGGTTTTACTCTGTCTGGTAGGCTTGCTATGAGTCAGAATCAACTTGATAGTGATGAGCTTGAGTTGTTAGTAATCACGTAGATACGGTCTTTGGGTTGGTAATACACATTAAGTTATCCTGGGAAAGAGCGTTCGTCCATCCTAACAGTTTTTCTCTGACTGGATTAATGAGATGATTTGTAAAAGATCCAAGGAGTTACTTTCTAAGATGTTAAGGCTGTGCCATAAATAGCCCACGTTGCCCTTAATTACTTACTAATTTATGCACATGTCATCTTAACTGTTTCTAAGAGAAAAGTAGCTCTAATGCTTTAAGCCATCCATTTATATAAGAATTGACTTTTCTCCTGTGTATCGGGAGAAGTGAGAACGTAGTCTTCGGATTATTTTCTGTGTTCTGTGGTTCAGAGAAAGCCTTTAGCATTTCCAAGGTTAGCGAGTGTTGAGTTCTCTCCTTACTGTGCTTGCTTAGTGGTGGACGGGATTTCAGTCACCTGGGAGCCAGAGGGGTCTAATGAGGAGTCACATTGGAACAGGTTGGCTCTCTTTCTTTTCCTGATGCTCTTTCCTCTCTCTTCCATGAAGAATACCTTTGATTCCCTAATGCTGGAATTTGGCTAGTAAGCCTATGTGTTATTCACATATTTTTGAGATTTTGTTTTTCAATATAATACCAGTCAGATTTCCTGGCTTTTGCCTTTAGAGAATGATGATATGTAGATCTTATTGATAGTTTTTTATATGTATGAATTTTATGTATTTTTTTATTATGTATACTTACATATAAAAAAAAAAAAAAACCCCAAAAACCCACTGCCATCAAGTCAATTCTGACTCGTAGCAATCCCCATTGGGTTTCTAAGGTGGTAAATCTTTATGGAAATAGATTGCCTCATCTTTCTCCCACAAAGCAGCTGGTGGGTTTGAACCATCAACCCTCTGGTTAGCAGCCAAATGCCTTACCGACTATGCCACCAGAGCTTCTTTTACTTACGTGTATAGTATATATATTTACATATACAGACATATATATATATATATATATATATATATATATATATATATATAATTTATAAGAAGACATCATCTTTTAAAGCTTATTCTCAACAGAGGCTTCCATCTCCCAACCCTTTCTGCCCTTTCCATATGAGATGTGGGAGTGGTACTCTTACCTTGAAGAATACCAGGCTGCACACAGTCCTTACCTTACATAAATGATGGCATAGAGATGGGGTCATCTACTTTCTTTCTGTTTTTCTTAAGACATAATTTGTTGCTGCTTGATTCTAGTGTGGGTCCACTGAGGTGTGAGAAAACAAAAATCTCTCAAATTTTGGCAGAATTTAGTTCAAAACATGCTTTCCTGAGAGTGTTACAAAGCTTATGTGACCCTACCCTCTGGTGAGGATTCCATATGTTGCAGCCAGAATCTTTCAGGTAGTTTGTAAAAAAGACAGTAGAAGCAGAGCCATTTACTAAAGCTTTCAACTGATAGAGAGAGGGTGTTTTCATAATAAGCAGGGTCTAAAGCAGTAAGTACTACTATGTGTGCTTGCAAACCCAGGGCTGGAAGAACGGAAGCTTTGCTTTCTCCAGTCTGGCAAAGCAAAAGCAAAGCAAAGAAAGGATCTTTTCTCGCTCTCACTTAATACGTGCTCTGTTTACTTTTTTAGCCTCTAACCCTCATGACTCATTGTTTGATCTTTATTGCATTTGAACATCAATGAGACCTCAGTTAATACATTGCATAGATTCTAGTTAGTCTGGAGGTTAAGGGGTGAATATGTCCTTATGGTGTTTTCTTTCTGGCTGGCACATTAGTTTATTCACTCTGCTTCAAGTGAATAAATTTCTGTGCCAGCCAAGACCTTAACAAAGAAGCTGGGTAAGTATGTAGATACTTTTAAAAAAATCCTATTTAACACCCTAAGAACAAAGAAGTGAGATTTTAAGGTGTCAATTTGAAAAGAAATACATTTTTCATTTTTCTGTGTAAACGAGTAATTGAGGTGAATGGTCCTTTTGCAGTTTCTGACTTTAGAAAAGTAAGTATATGTGGCACAGTAGCTATCATTGGTACCCATCTCTCTCATCCGTTCATGGAGGAGTTGGTGGAAATGAAACTGCTTTTGCTTTTTGGTGGTGGAGACCTAGTGTATGTTGCACATTGAAACAGTAAGTAGGCTTTTCTTTTGACACTCTACATGTTCACTGGATGAGTAATTTTGTTTCGCAGATGCAGCATTTAAAATCCTGAACCCTATGACTGTTCCAAGATTTTTTAGGCTGAATAGCAACAATGCCTTGATAGAGTTCTTGTTGGAGGTGAGAAAGCGTCTGTTTCATTGGTGGTGGGGGATAAACTACATTCATTACCTCTGTGGTAATTTCCAGGCACATAAAAAACAGGAGGAAATTGTCTTCTTTTTAAGGGCACTCCTGAGATAAGAGAGTATTATCTTGACTCTAAAAAAGACGTAGACCGTCAGCTGAAGTCGGCTTGTGAACAGTTTATTCAGCAGCAGACCAAGCTGTTTGTGGAGCAGCTGGAGGACTTCCTGACCAAGGTAGAGGCCTTGCTGTATATTTGTTAGAGTAATTGTGAATTCTTCCCGAGGTTTCCTTTTTGAATTACCCTCTGGTGAGAAGTAATGATTTTATCTGGGAAATCTGTTTCCTACTGTGGATGCTTTTTAGTTTGAGGACATTTAGATAGGTTTGTAGAGGTTTTAGTTTTTAAGCAAAAGAGTGCAAATATTGTGAAACCCTATAGCCTCAACTATGATCCCTAGCTACCCTTCAGGTCTGGAACTGAACCCACTCGTGTGGCTGCCAGCCAAACAGTAGACAGGCATATGAGCTGAACATTACATCAGGTAGATTATACTCCTTGGGAGAGATCAATCATGGGAGAACAGAAGGGCTGTGTATACACAGGAAGACAGCGGGTGGGGGGTCGTGCTTGGGAGGGAAGGACACAGGGAAGAGGTAATTATGGGGAGGAAGTGGGAAGAGAGCTGTTACATAGTGGGGAAGTGCAGTCAATGTCATGAGACAAAATGTGTATGAATTGCTGTATGGAAAATAAATTTGCTCTGTGAACTTCCACCTAACTCGCAATAAATTTTTATTTTTTTTTAAAGAGTACAAATATTGCAAAGCTAGTTGTGTAGCTAACCTCTGGTTGGGTGTTGTGGTAGTTAAATTTGTATGTCATCTTGGCTAGGCCTGGTTGAATGGCTGGGCAGCTGGTGGTAGTTACTCCCCATGATGAGACTGGTAATCAACTCCATGGTGGGATCTACCACAAGCAGCTGAGTAGCTGCCTTTGGGATGTGATCTGCTTCCTGTATTTAAGGAGAAGGTTTGGGAATGGTCTCTAGCATATGGCACACTTGGACCCTGCATGTAGCTGTGTCATTGCTCAGCAGCCTGCTATGCTCTGCCGACCTTGGGACTTACAGTGGATTTAAGTCAACGGCCTACTGTGTGGTAACATCAGGACTGTGCCTTTTTACTGGTCAACGTTGGGCTTGTCAGCCTCAGCAGCCAGCAGCTGTCTGAGTGAAGAAAAGCCTTTAGCTCCAGTGGGCTGGGAGTAGGAGGTAGAGCTGGACTGCAAGGTTGAGGGGCTTTCACCCAGCCCCTAGAGCCTGGCACTTTGAATTTGGACTTAAAGCCAAACTGTAAGAGAATAAACTCCTGTTTGTTAAGGCCATCCCATTTGTGGTATAGTCTTGTCAGAGTGGCACTAGGTAACCAGAACAGGTGTGTTCTGTTTATGCCTATTGCAGGTTATTTGCATGTGGTCTCTGACTTGCTTTCTCCTGAATTGGATCCTGCCTAGCAGTGACATGGGCCTGTAAGTCAGGGCTTCCTGTCACTTAAAATGGGTGATTTATCTCCGTCCTTGTTTTACATGCTACTGCTGTCTTGCATTTTGCGTGGATACTTGATAACTGAAGATTTTGTATCAGTTACATTGTTACTCACCAGATAGACAAAGTTATAATCATTGGTGCATCTTTCTTCTAGCTAAAATTTATCAGCTGACTAAACCATCCAATGCCAGCAATGAGAAAATAAGATTATGACTATTTTGAAACTCTTGTTTCAACCTAGTCTTTTTTATTTAAATCTCCTTATTAAGGACTTTCTTAACATCTTGAAGATGTTTTAAAAGTCTTAAGGTTAGCTCTCACATATTAAACTTCGGCTCTTTATACATACTTGTATTAGAGGACATCATAAGAAGATTAACAATTGGATGGCCCATTCACTCACATTTACTTCAGTAGGCTTACCTGGGAGACAGGTGTATCTATGAAATAGTTGAGAGACAGCAAAGCAGACAGCCCATTAGTAACCTGTTTGCCCATGTACACTAACATGCCTGCGGCCTATGATAAAGACATAAGATAACAGAAATACAGTAAAAGCAAATATGAACCCATTGTTGTCAAGTCAATTCTGATGCATAGAAATGTTAAAACAGTCAAACAACTCTTTCGTTTATCATTGGAAGATAGTACTTGTCTGGTAGATTTCAGTCCTTTTATACATATCAGGTATTTAGCCAGGAGGTGTATAAGTATATTTTTGCTATAGCCCCACCCCCAATTTAAAGGGATGGTGGAAATGTTTCTGATAGAGTTTTGATTAAAAAAAACAAAACAGTGGACATAACATTACTTGAAAGTTACAGACCAGTTATAATTCGTTTAGAAATTATCCTTATGGAAAACCAGCTTGTAGATTGCAGTACATATTTGTACATATTGGTTGGAAGTATTGTAGGTGGATATTCTGCAGTAACAGAGCAGCAGAATGAATCTCCTGAAATTAGCCAGTTGATTATCATGAAATCTAGGATTAAAGGGTCCCTGCATAGTTTTCTAGAAATCAGGAGAATGAAAATTCATTGATAGAGCTGTCCTGGTTGGCCTTAGTGTAAGGCTGGTAAATCAAGTACAACTCTGCTGTTGTGCATGTTGGAAGATCTGTATAGTGTGAACATTTTAAAAGAAAATAGAGGTTTATGTAGAATGCATTCAGGTCTGAGGTATGTAGTGGTTCTCTGTAGACCATGCTACACATCTATAGTGGGAAGCTCTGGGGGGCTGCTGTGGACCTTTTCTCGCACTCCCTTCGTTATAGGATCGGGAAGAGGAGGGCTTTGCCTCTCTCTAATCGTCATTGCGAGGCCAGTCTCATCCTCCCTGATCAGTCTTGTGTTGCCCTTGATTCAGATCACTCGCAATTGCCTCACTTTTTCTCTCTTATCCCTGGTCCCTAACTGCTGCTTATGGAGTTTTTAATAAAAATATTTAGTGGATACCACAGCTTAGAGGATTGAGCATCCCTTTATGTTTCTTACTCCAAATTCAGGCCTTTTACCCATCCTGTTGGCACAGAGAGTCAGAGGCAAAGATAGATACCTATGATATACACACCCCCTGTGAGCTCTCAGGTTAACACTGATATTTGTAATCATTTAAAACATTGTTCCTTAGAAAATTTGTGAACCAAAGATTTTTCAGTTTTTGCCTTGTGAGCATTACTAGTGTTCTGAATAGCAGCAAAAAGAGTGAAAGCTTTCAAAACTTAACAGTGATTTTCTTTAAATGCAGACCTTAGCATTATTATCTGCAAGTGCAGAATCTTTGGTGTTACTAACTTCAAGGGCTTCATGTTGTAGTTGGCATTTTTTGGCAACTAATGCTAGTAACTTTATAAATGATTGAAAAGAAAACAACATCTATAGATACAGAAAGGAAACAGTAATTCAGCTTTCATTTAATTGTCTATTTGGAGGTCTGAGTGTTGCACTTAAGCCTCATCAACAAAATATCGTCAAGTTGTTTTTAAGCATCAACTGATTTTTTACATATATGGTGCAGAAAGGGCATGGGGACGGCATCCTCTGACCGCCTCTAATTTCATGAGGGGAGAGAAAATCACCATCAGCAGCCCAGGGCTGATTCAAGTCAGGCGGGAGTCAGGCATGCTGTCACCCTCCAGTTCTGGCACCAAGCCTCCCTCCCGTGGCACTTTCTACTTCTCTTCTGGGATTGATAATTTATTGCCATGGCCACACAGAACTCACCGACTATACTCAAGATTATGTTGTTTATCAGGAAAGCAGTAGGTTACAGTTCAGATTCAGGAACACTCATGATACAGTTCTTTACAGGACAGTCTCTCCTCGGCCACGCTCGCAGGCACACCTCTCTTTGGCCATTGGCGTCTTGACAGGGCCTCTGCCCTGTTTGCGTAAGGGTTACAAAGCTCTTTCAGCTCTGCTGATAGGTACACTTCACTCTGCCAGCAAGGCTCCTGCCCAAAGGCACTCAGCTTTCTTGATCTGTGGGCCGACAAGTCTGCCGCTCTGTCTCATGGCAGTCTTTTGGTTCTGCTGCCTCTGCTGCTGCCATCTCTCTGCACAGGGATCAAGGCTGTGCTGTACTCCTGCTGCCTCTTTCCAGATGGTATTGAGATCCCTCCTTTTCCGCCTCTGGGATGGCTCATTTTAAGCCTAGCAGAATGACAAAATGACCAGTCCTCTTACTAGGATTCCATATACCTTATTTGTACAGTCCTATCCCCACAGGAGCTCTGGTAGCGTAGTGGCTAAGGCACTTAACTGCTAACCAGAAGGCTGGTGGTTCAAACCCACCAGCCACTCCTCGGAAGGAAGGTTGGGCAATCTACTTCCGTAGTGATACCGCCTCGGAAACCCAAGGAGGGGTCGTTATGAGTCGGGATCGACTCAATGGCACATAACAGCAACAACAACAACCCCCACAAGTGTGCCATGTACCTTATAACTTGTAACTTGTCAGCAAGTTATCTGCTCCCCTTGGTGGGCCATAAAGTACCTTATAGTTACATAGTCCCACCCAATCACCTGGTGGGAGTCAAAAAGACCATGGCTAGAAGAGCCATGCCACGTCATTTGCTGCATTGCATATAGGTTGGTTTTAATAAATTAAAGCATGTTAATGTACAGAGAACATTTTTGGGTTGTCACAAGACTTTTTTTTGAGCCCAAGGATGAGGTGGGATTCTGGTTCCCTTTACCTGCTATAAATTGGCCTTTTTGTTTATGTTGCTCCTTTTTTTTTTCTGTGAGTCTTCCTTAGGCTCTCTTTTTTGAGATGCTTTCTTTTCATCATTTCTTACTACGTCCTGGTACCTACAGTAAGTAAAGGATTTATTTCACAGGTTGAGAAACTGAAGTTTTGCAGAATGACCCAGTACATCTGAGGTAAACATTCCTGCAGTGTCTTCATCTGTCACATACAAACATTCTCCCTGATTTTTTGTATAACTAATTGTCTTTCTTTAGAAAAATAAAATACAAGAAGAACATGTATGGGCTCTTGCCTCCTTTCCTGCTCCTGGAAAAATAACCTTTTCTTATAACTATTTACATGGCTCTTGGGAATGTAATATTGTGGAGACAGTGGGCTACGTGTGAAAACATTTGGGTCAGATTATTTTCAATCAAACGTCAAAAACCATTGATCTTATTTTTTTATTGCTATAACAGAATTTTGTTCTACTGAGTATTGCTTCAAACAAACTCTTCAGTAGGACTAGAATGGATAGTGGGGTGTAGTAGAAATAGCATAGAATTTAGAGTCAGGAAATCGGGGCTCCAGATGCTTTTCTCCAGTCACCACCTAACTGAAATTGTAGTTAAGTCACTTAATTTCTCCAAGCCTTGGTGTGTCCTAGTTTCCTACTGCTGCTGTAACAAAAATACCACAAGTGGGTGGCTTTAAAGAACAAGAATTTATTTTTCTCACAATTTTGGAGGCTAGGAGTCCTAATTCAGGATGGTGGCAGAGCTAGTCTTTTTCTCTGTCAGCTCTAGTGGGGAGATCCTATCTCAGCTTTGATAGTCCTGGGCATTTCTTGTCATTCCTTGTCTGCATTTAGATGTGTCTTCATATCACATCTGATTTCCCTTGTGTGTGTGTGTGTGTGTGTGTGTGCCTATGTCTTTCCATTTTTCTAAGAGACAACTCAGACAGGATTAGGTTTAGGACCCCACTCTACTCTGGTATGTATAACCTCATTAATATCACAGAAGAAAAGCTCTGTTCCCATACAGGGTTACACCCACAGGTGCAGGGGCTAGGGCTTCAGCATATCTTTTTGAGGGACATAAAATTCAATCCATAACACTTGGTTTTCTACCCTAATAGTGTAGAGATAGCTACTGGCATCCATTCTCTGTACTTAACAGTTATTATGAGGATCAAAATAAAATCTTCAGTGTAGAAATACTTTTAACCATGACATGCTGCAGAAATGTTATTTCATAGTAAAGTAAATTTAAGGTGAAAAATCTGAATTAAGACATTTCAAAGAATTAATGTAAGTGCTCGGCTACTAATTGTCCATTTGAATCCACCTGGAGGCACCTTGAAAAAAAGGCCTGCAGATCTACTTCCAAAAGATCACAGCCATTGGAAAGCCTGTGGAGCACATCTGTGCACATCTGTACTCTGAGCGTAGTGGGTTGCCATGAGTCAAAATCAACTGGACAACTGGTTTGCTTTTTTTTTTTTTAAGCCAAACTCAAAAGTCTTTGTCCCTAGTGGGATATTTTGTTAGAAACTTAAATTTATGTCTAGCAATATTAATTTTCTTTCAGCAATTAGCTAAAATATTACAAGTTTATGATTGATATTCCCTTTGAACTGTTACTAATTTCCTTGGCAACACTATAAATCTTTTTTTGGTGTAGTACTTTTGATAGAACTTGATCGAATATTTAATTTCTGCTTCCAAAGAGTTATAACTTAATGAGAAATCAACACAGAAAAATGTATAAACATTAAGACATGTACAACAATTTAAATTTTATGTTATCCAAATAATTACAATAACACTTTGTGAGAAAATGGGTTTGTATTCATCATGTAGAGTTAAAACACAAAACAAAACAATGGGCCTAATTAGTTAAGGAAAACTTTTGAAGAAAATGCTCCTTAAGGATAAGTAAATGATCTGGGTAGTAAATAAAGATGAATATGCAAGTATGGATTACATACGTCTCAATATAAAGAAAACAAAAGTCCTCACAACTGGACCAATGAGCAGCATCACAATAAATGGAGAGAAGTTTGAGGTTGTCAAAGAATTCACGTTGCTTGGTTCTACAATTGATGCCAATGGAAGCAGCAGTCAGGACATTAGACAATGTGCAGCATTGGGAAGGTCAACCACGAAGGAACCGTTTCAGGTACTGAGGAGCAAGGATGTCTCCTTGAGTACTTAGGTGCGCCTGACACAAGCCATGATATTTCCAGTCACCTCATATGCATGTGAGAGCTGGACAATGAATAAGGAAGACCGAAGAAGAGTTGATGCTTTTGAGTTGTGGTGCTGGCCAAGAATGCTGAAAGTGCCATGGACTGCTAAAAGAACTAACAGATCTGTCCTGGAGGAAGTGCACCCAAAATGCTCCTTGGAAGCGAGAACGGCCAGACTTCGTCTCACCTATTTTGGTCATGTTGTCAGAAGGGACCGTTTCCTGGAGAAGGATGTCATGCTTGGTAGGGTTGAGGGTCGACGAAAGAGGGGAGGCCTTCAACGAGATGAATTGACACGATGGCTGCGATGATGGGCTCAAGTATAGCAGGGATCATGGAGCTGGCGCAGAATCGGGCAGTGTTTCGTTCTGCTGTGCATGGGGTCACTATGAGTTGGAAATGACTCGACAGCACCTAACCTAACATAACATGCAAGTTTATATTTGTTTTTAATATAAAGAAATTGTTAACAGTCATACTCTGGTGGCGTAGTGCCTAAGGCATTTGACTACTAACCAGAAGGGTGGCGTTCAAGACCACTAGCCTCTCCTTGGAAGGAAAGTTGGACAGTCTACTTCCATAGTGATACTGCCTCAGAAACCCAAGGAGGGCTCACTGTGAGTCAGATCTGACTCGCTGGCAGTGAGTTTTATACTAGTAAGTACATATCATTATGAGATTGGTTACATTCTGGAATGGTCAGTGGAATTATAGGCAGCTATTATTGTTGAAACACAACTGGTATACGTAGGAAGATGTCCAAAATACAGATTTAAAAGGGTAAGAAAGTTTACAGAACAATATGTTCCCATTTCTGTAAATTATAAATATTAGTATTCTTATATGTTTGCATTGGAAAAACTTGGGGTAGTATACACTAAAGTTGAATGTTGGTTTTCTTCTGGCCTTGTCTAATTTCTGATCATATGTCTGATTTGCTTTTAAAAGCTGAATCTCACAGTAAAAAGTAAAGACATGGAAATGAACTGAGGACAGGAGGAAAGGGGTGATTTTATATACACGGGGTAGCATGAGCAAACGCCTAGTGTGATCCAGGAGTATAAACTTGGTAGCAATATAATGAGCGCTGGAGAGATCTGAGCCCATGCTCTGTCTAAGATATGTTGTGGCCTTTTTTTATGAAAAATCTGAAGACTTGGTGCTCGGGTTTTTCTAATGAAACTTTCCAGTGAGGCTGAGGGGTATAGCCTAGATCTTTCTATACAGTTCGTGTTTAAAAAATGTTACATGCTGTGTCTGTCCCCACTCTCTCAGCCAGCCCTAACCTCAGCATAGTTTGCCACCTTAAGTACAGTGTTGCCCAAGCAGCTAAATGCACTGTTTTGAATTGGAGTGATGTGGAGATAGACAACTAGATGTGAATCGTTCAGACCTCTAGAAAGTTGGCTTCCAAGTCTAGATCTGGAACACTGGTTAGTCAAGTATCCCTTTTGATGATTTTCCCAAATCTGACTGACTTGTTTTAATGACGTTCTGTCCGTGACATAATAAGAAATTGGACCTTCTAGGTGTGTATAGTAGATTTCACCCTGCTGGGTGATATTTTTCTAGCACATATGGTAATAATTTAGTATCAACATAACAGCTCACTTAAAGAGAGACCTGTTTTGTGTTGACATTTCTCTAGGTTTTCTTTTTTGTCTTTTTACTTTTAAATGTTTCAGGTGGAATGTCTCAGGACATGGGTATGGTTTGTTTGGAAGTTAGTATATGCCTCTGTGTGTGTGTGTGTGTGTGTGTGTATATGTATACTCTTCAAAAATTCTCTAAGAAGGAACTTTTGCTAAAAGTTTCATTAGCTGTAAAAGATCATGTGATGTCTTTTTTTTCTTTTTTTAGGGTTACACATTTGATACCATTATATTTAATAGGCTCCTATGATGTTGTATAGCCTTTGAGAGCAGTATTGGTTTAATTTCTCATTGCTGAAATGGAACTTTTTGTTTTTCTTTGTCTCCTTTACCAGGTTTCAGCATTAAAAACAATGGCCAGTCAGGGAGGTCCCAAGTATACTCTGTCACAGCAGCCTTGGGCACAACCAGGTATTTAGGTTTTACTATTTTGGATTTCTTTTTTTAGGATGTTGCCTGATTTGGACATACTTAGTCCTTACTCTGAATGCTTGGAGTTGGTTTCCTATTCACTTTGGGATACTATGGTCTGGATTAATGCAAGGTTCAGTTTAGAGCTGACATGTCTTTTTTGTTTTTAATTTTTATTGTGATTTGGGTGAAAGTTTACAGAGCAAATTCGTTTTCCATATAGCAGTTCATATACATTTTGTCTCATGACATCAACTGTAATTCCCTACAATGTAGCACAGAGCTGACATGTCTTAATTGGCCAACACTGCTTGCATTTCAGCAAGCATTCCAAGGCAGGAATAGTAATAATAATAATAACAAAATTACTTAGTTATAAGTAAAATGTGGCACAACCACAATGAAACGAATGAGAATAATGACATATTGTGGAAAACGTAACAACTATCACTGAGTATTTGTATAGAATCATTAAATGTGAACCTAATTTGGTATATAAACTTTCACCTTAAACACAATCAAATATTTTAAAAAATATGTGGCTTAGATGCAGGCACTTTTACTTTGCTGGTTTTTGTGAACCCACTTCTCATTGTATTAGAGCTTTGATGAGAGTACAGTATTTGATAGTATGAGATTCTGGAGTGCTGCTGGTTTCAAGTATTACCTGAATAAATGTTGCCAAAAAACATAACATGTTATGCATGTTATCTCCTCTGTTAACGTTTTAGAGCACTTGAAAAAAATTGTAAGAATTGAAGCGTCACTTTGGAATTGGCAGGCATTAGCATCATCTGATTGGCAGATATGCTTGAGCCGTTCCCAGTCTACCTCTTTCCTAAATACATTATTTTTGTGTTAGAGGTTTTGTGAGCTATTTTTGGCACATTCTATGACATTTTAAGTTGCCATCAGGGTAGAAAAATTCATATTACAAGATTGATACCTATTACCATCCACTGGCCCATATTGTGGTGGCTTCTTTGAAATTAAGAAGGACAAAATGGTGAACAATCTGTGCCTTAATTATTGGTGGAGGTGAGTCGAACTTGAGGGCTGCTCTTTGCTTATAGTGAGAGACCAAAGACTGAGTCTGGCTTAGCATCCATGAGAAATTGTCTATAGACATCTAATGTGGAATCAACTTTTTAATACCATTGATTGTCATTTTCTTGGGGAAAAATATTGGCCCTTATAAAGGCCTCCAAAATTTTGCCATTATTAATGCTTCAGGTTAATTTGAAGATGAACTAACAAGTAGAAAGAGTAGCTATGTATCTCTTAGGAGGATCTGTACATGTACAGAATTATCAGGTATATTTCAAAGGAAGACAAGATTTCATTTCAACTGTGATGATGCTAGTGTTGTTGTTGCTAGGTGCTGTTGAGTTGTCTCTGACTCATAGCGTCCCCATGTACAACAGAACAAAACACTGCCTGGTCCCGTGCCAGCTCCATGATCCCTGCTATACCTGAGCCCATCATTGCCACTGTGTCAGTCCATCTTGTTGAGGGGCCTTCCCCTTTTTTGTTGACCGTCCACTTTACCAAGCATGAACTCTTTCTTCAGGGAGTGGTCCCTTCTTATAACATGACCAAAGTAGGTGAGATGAAGTCCAGCCATTCTCGCTTCCAATGAGCGTTCTGGCTGCATTTCTTCCAGGACAGATTTGTTAGTTCTTTTAGCAGTCCATGGTACTTTCAGTATTCTTTGCCAGCACCCCGGCTCAAAACCATCAGCTCTTCTTTGGTCTTCCTTATTCAAATTGTCTAGCTCACACATGCATATGAGGGGTTTGAAAATACCATGGCTTATGTCAGGCACACCTTAGTCTTCAAGGAGACATCTTTGCTCTTCAGCACTTGAAAGAGGTCATTTGCAACAGATTTGCCCAATGCAGTACATTGTCTGATGTCTTGACTGCTGCTTCCATTGGTGTTGATTGTAGAACCAAGTAATTGAAGTCTTTGACAACGTCACTCCTTTTTTCCATTTATCATGATGCTGCTTACTGGTCCAGTTGTGAGGATTTTTGTTTTCTTTATATTGAAGTGTAATCCAGACTGTAGACTATGTAGTCTTCAATCTTCACCAGTAAGTGCTTTAAGTCATCTTCACTTTCAGCAAGCAAAGTTGTGTTGTCTGCGTATCGCAGGCTGTTGATGAGTCATCCTCCAATCCTGATGCCACGCTCTTCTTCATATAGTCCATCTTCTTGGATTATTTGCTCAGTATGCAGATTGAATAAGTATGGGGAAAGGATACAATCCTGACATACTCCCTTCCTGATTTTAAGCCATGCAGTAATCTCTTGTTTTGTTTGAATGACAGCTTCCTGGTCTGTGTACAGGTTTGTGATGAGCACAGTCAAGTGTTCTGGAATACCCATTCTTCTCATTGTTATCCATAATTTGTTATGATCCACATAATTGAATGCTTTTGCATAGTCTATAAAACACAGGTAAATATCTTTCTAGTATTCTTTGCTTACAGCCAAGATCCATCTGACGTCAGCAATGATATCCCTCATTCCACATCCTCTTCTGAATACAGCTTGCATTTCTGGAAGTTCTCTGTCAATATACTGCTACGACAGTTTTTGAATTATCTTCAGTAAGATTTTACTTGTGTGTGATATTAATGATATTGTTCGATATTTCCACATTCTGTGGGATCACCTTTCTTTGGAATGGGTACAGATATGGGTCTCTTCCAGTCAGGAAGCTGTCTTCCAAATCTCTTGGCATAGCTGAGTCAGTGCCTCCAGTGAAGCATCTGTTTGTGAAACATCTCAATGGGTATTCCATCAATTCCTGGAGCCTTGTTTTTCGCCAACTTCTTTAGTGCAGCTTCAACTTCTTCCTTCAGTACCATTGGTTCTTGATTATATGCCACTTCCTAAAATGGATGAACACAGCGACCAGTTCTTTTTGGTACAGTGACTCTGTGTATTCTTTCCATCTCCTTTTGATGTTTCATGCATCATTCAATACATTGCCCATAGAATCTTTCTTTTTTTTTTTTTTAAATTGTGATTTTGGTGAAGATTTACAGAGCAAATTCACTTTCCATACAGCAGTTTACATATGCTTTGTCTCATGACACTGACCACAGTCTACCACAATGCAACAGCTCCCCTCCCACTTCCTCCCCATAGTTACCTCTTCCCAGTGTCCATCCCTCCATGGACTCTGCCCCCTGAGCTGTCTCCCTCTGCATAGGGAACCCTTCTTTCTCAATGATTGTTCTCTCCAAGGAGAATATCTACCTCAGGTAAATGTTCAACTCATGTGCCTGTCTTCTGTTTGGTTGGAAACCACATGTGTGGATTCAATTCCAGACCTGAAGGGCAGCTAGGGGCCATAGTCTCAGTGGTTCCATCAGGCTCTATTGGACCAGCAAACCTGATCAACCCTCCTCCCCCACTGCCACCCTTTTTTGTTTTTTTCTCCAAATGATTTTGAGTTTTGTTCCACATTGTTCTCCCTTTCTATCAGGGATCTCCTACATAGATCCCCTTCCAAGAGGATAACAGTGGTAGCCGGGCACCATCTAGTTCTTCTGGTCTCATAGTCGTATATGCTGCAGATCGGATGGTGTACCAGTCACTAGGACTAATTATTTCCATGCATTTTGGTTTTCTTCATTCTTCTTTGCTCTGGACGAGGTGAGACCCATCGTTGCATTTAGATGGCAGCTTGCTAGCTTTTAAGATCCCAGTTGCTACTCACCAAAGTAGGAAGTGAAATAATGTTTTGTATAGTATGTTATGCCAGTTGAGCTTGATGTCCCCTATGACTATGGTCCCAAGCCTGCAAGTTCAACTACTCAGTCCCTCTGGGTAGCTGGCTGTGACCAAGCAGTGACCACAACCTTCCCGTTGTCAATTCTACTATCACCTGGGAATTCTGATCATTCACATAAACTTGTAGGACCATTGTCTGCCAACCCTATATATGTTCTTGGATACACTCCTCATTTCATAGATATACCTAATCGTTCAGCCTGTCCACCCATCTATCCACCCATATACCCATGTTTGCCTTCACCGACAGTGCACTGAACCCTTTTGCACATAGACATACCTAATCATTTAGCCTGTCTACCCATCTATCCACCCATATACCCATGTTTGCCCTCACTGACAATGCAGTACTGTATGTGCAAAAGGGTTCATATTTGTTGTCTGTACCTCCCATGTACCTTTCTATGTCTTTCTC